GTTGCCAGTTCAGTGGGTCCAGGTGGTTGAGTATCAGAGTGTTCCATCTCATTTCCCTTTGGGGTTGCTGTAGGTGATCTGAAAGTCTGGTTTTGAGACTTATTTACATGTTTTCTCATTTTGACTGGGGCGGGGGTCTGTTAGTGCCTGCATGGATTACCTCCTCTGAGCTGGGAGAGGTGGGAGAGGGGCCGGGAGCAGCAGTAGTGATGGTGACCCAAAAGACCTTTCCTATGGGCTGGGAGTGGCAGGAGGGATGGTGGCTGGGAAGCCCCTTCCTCTGGGCCAGGAGCAGCAGGACAGAAGGTGGCCCAAAAGCCCTTTCCTCTGGGCTGGGAGCAGCGGGAGGGATGGTGACCGGGAAACCCTTTCCTCTGGACCAGGAGCAGTGGGACGGTGGTGCAGAAGCCCCTACCTCTGGGATGGGAGCAGCGGGACTCAGTACCTTGGTCTGGTGGTCTGGTGTCCTCTGCGTCTTTGTCTGGGATGTACTACCTTTTAAAGCTGTGACCTAATGCTCAATGTAATTTATTCAGCAAGGTTGATGTCATTTTAATACAAATTCAGAAACAGCAAATTATAGAATTAGGCAAGAAGTCACTTTCTATACTTACCTTGGCCAAATCATGATCAGGCTCAACCTCTAGTACTTTCCTCAAATCTTCTATGGCCTCCTGGAGCTTGTTTTGATGTTTATAAGTAGTGGCACGGCGCAGAAGAGCTGAAAGTTTGCCAAAATAAAAATTATATGTTTTAATATATGGGTTTATGGTTATAACATTTTGCAAGTGTAAAAATATAAGTATCACAGGACACTTTAAGATGTAATTGTTCAAAGCTTCAATACACCCATTTTCATATTGTTGAACATCCTGGAAATGATCTTCTGGTAAGCAGAATAGGCTGCCTTGGGCAACTGTGTCCTCTAATAACCTCTGGTTCTAACCCTAAACCTAACCCTGGCTGGCTCCCCCAAGGCCAGAGAGACTCTGTCCCTTTCCTCTTTACAGGCACCATACTGTGCCGCATCATCAGGAAGCTTTTTGCCAAAACAATAATGTTTTCCTTCTTATCATCTGCACTACTGATGAAAGTTTCATGGCTTTCTGAAAACTTAGAAATTTCATATATTACTGACCAGCCTCTAGCTCAGAATATGGCACGTTAGTAAAATCTAGTTAGCCATCTCTAAAAATCCTAGAAGGAGGGCTGGGGATTTAGCTCAGTGGCATCGCGCCTGCCTCACAAGTGCAAGGTCCTGAGTTAGATCCTTGGTACTGGGGGAAAAAAAAAAGACTAGAAGGAGTTACTTAGAACAGGGAACTGGGAGGATCCCAATGATTAAGTCAGCTACGGTTCTGAAACTGAGCACACTGGTAATTTGCATCAGATTTTTGGGAAGGCTCTGATGTATAAAATTCTATGATTATTTAACAATGACAATGAGTGCCTTCTTAGTCCCATCGCTAATCATTATGTAATGAGAGAATTTTGTGCAATAAATCAATATGTTGACAAAAAATTAGGCTCAGTAATTTTGAGAAGTGAGAAGTTTATATCTGACATATTTTAATATGCTATTTTAAAACATATTCATAAATTTAACCAGTGTGATTTTAGTCTTAGGATGAGCCATGAAAACCTAAAGGATAAATAATTTTGTCATAAATATAATTAATATAGTAGCATTGTGCCTTAAGTATACTTTAGCTACTGCCATTGCTACTCAAATTTCCAAAAGGAACTTCCACAAAGAAATATCCGTGATATAAGAATTATCATTTTTGGGGGGGAGGTAACTTTTAAAATTTTGAAATAATTTGATAATTACAGGAGGTTGCAAAGATAGCACAGAAAATTCCTGTGTACATTCAATCTGCTTCCCCTAATACTAACATCTTATTCAATCTTTGTGGATTATTAGCTACCTTAGTATGAATAATCAGGGATTTAAATTCCAAGTGAAATTCAAAATTAAAAGTAAATGCATGGGCCGGGGATTTAGCTCAGTGGCACTGCACCTGCCTGGCAAGCACAAGGTTCTGAGTTTGATTGCTGGTATGAGAAAACAAAAAGATAAAAAAGAAAAGTAAATGCATGAAGGTGATGATTCACATATAGAAATCTGACTTTACCTCAAATATGTTTAATGTAAATATATGATCTACAAATGGTCTTTAATGAATTCTGCTATAAATATAAAAGTATTCAATGACTATTTTACCCTTTATGTTTCCAGGTTCTAACTTCAAGACCTTTTCACAATCCTGAAAAGCATTATTCCAGTTCTGCAATTTGATTTCTGCTTGAGCTCGATTGTTATAAGCAGCTACAGTGGGAAGCACAGATATGCTCCTAGAAAAGAAACACATTGGCAAGAAGCAGGCCTGAATAAACCTAAGAATGTAGAGAAACAAAGTTGTAAACAAACAATCATAGCCTGTATATTAGTGCAAAATAATTAATAAAAAAAAGAATTTAATGTCTAGCTGGAGATGGCTTAAAAATTGACTTGGAATGCTGTGAAATAATGAATACCCAGATATAGGAAAGATCAGGCACTGGCACATTGAATTTACCAAATCTGGAGAGGAATAGAAGGTACAACTGGAAAAGTAATCAACATGGTCATTAAAGATCATTAAAGATGATTTAATTATTTAATTCTAAGGAAGCATTAGTGATTCTATAAGCACAGTTTGTAACAGTATTTTAGGAATTTCATCTACTTTTCATAGACTAAGAACTTCCAAAGTTCATATACAAGTGTTTATGGAACATCTGCTATGAACCGGGTACTTTGCTGGGAATTGAGGATAGCGTAGTGGGTAAGTAGGCTCTGCTCTTACAGAGCACACAGTCTAGTTAGTATCAAAGCACAAATTTACATTGTATTTTGACAGGTGCTACAAAGGAGAAGTGAGACTGCTACAAGAACCTCTGAGCCGATGGGTCAGCAGTGTCAGGGGTAGATGGAGATTTAACTTACTTAACAAGGTTTCCTGAGGGGTCAAGGAAGATTTCCCCAAAGAAGTAAGGCACAGACAAATTCTAACAGGTAAGTTAGGAGGGGCTGGGGTGTGGCTCATTGGTAAAGCACTTGCCTGGCATGTCCAAGGGCCTGAGTTTGATCAAAAAGGAAGAAAGGAAGTAGAAAAGAAAGGAAGGAGAGAAGGAAGAGATTGAAGGAGGGAGGGACGGTTAGAAAGAATTCAGTGGATCATGAGAAGAGCATTTTAGACAGAGGCCTCGGGATGTACAAAGGCTCTGTGGTGGATTAGGTCCAAGCAGTCTAACTCCAGAACCCAAATTCATAACTTTTATGCTGTGTAGATTTTCTGTAAAGTTCCTTTCAGATGGTTTCTGTTCTCTCTAAAAGAGGAAAATTTGGTCTTCTGTCAGAGGCAGGAGTAGGGTGAAAACTTAAGAGATTTGAAAAAATACTGAAAAGACAAATATAGTGAATTTATGAAAAATGACAAGTACAGAACCTCAAGTGATTCTGACATAGATTATTTAGCTTATTTATACTTTTTCCAATAATTAAAATGTTATCATTTTTAATGGCAAGTTTAAAAAACAAAAATCTGCTCACCTAGTATAATACATTACAGCCTCTTCATAATCTCCTGAGTTGAAAGCTTCATTTCCTTTTTCTTTTTCACGAGTAGCAAGAAAACCCTTTTCCTTCTCAGTGAGACCTAGAGATAAAATTATCTATTACAGGGCTGAGGATTTAGCTCAGTGGTCCTGCCGCCTGCCTTGCAAACACAAGGTCCCGAGTTCGATCCCCGGTACAAAAAACAAACAAACAAAAAGACTGAAAATTATCTGTTACATGTGAACATATAATGTAATAGACATTTAAATTCAAGGGTGTTTTTAAAATTGGTTTTCAATGCCAGGGATGGAACTCAAAGCCTTGGGCATGGTAAGCAAATGCTCAACCACTGAGCTACAGCCCCAGCCCCCAGGATGCTTATCTTTAACACAAGTAGAAAATCATACATTAAACAAAGCTTGAAATAAAAAGCTTTCCTAAGTTTAGGGATTTTTCAAAAAAATCATTCAGAATTTTTAAGAATTTAGATTTCTTTTACAATTAACTTTGTTGTCCCCTATGGATTTCATCATCTTTTTTGTGAAGGAGAAAGAAAGATATATAATTTATAGGAAAGAGGATTAAGGAAAGTAATAAAAACAAGTGAATTACAGTAAGAAAAACGGGCTTATATTTTCACATCTTAGTAAATGTAGTTATTATCGACATAAAACTTATCCACACAAAATTAAGTAGTTGAAAGATACAAATGAACTTGTTAGGCTTGTTATGAGAAAATCCATAAACTTTTAATAGAAATATGCAACACCCAAAGATAATGTTTTGTGGATTGACAGTTGTTATTATCATTAGAAAATTTAAAAACTACTAAATTATTATTTTCTCCTATTACCTGCTATATCTATTCTTGTCTCAATTTTAGATAAATGTGACTTGTTGTCTACTATAGTCTTTTCTTTATAATCTTCATCAATTTTTGAACATTCCTTTTCCACATCAAATCTTAAATGGAAAAAAAACAAAAACTGAAAAAAGATACAATATAAGCAAGAAAATATATTTGAATTACACTGTGAGTACCCTTAATCTGAAACACTTAGGACCAGCAAATTAAATTTTGTAGCATTTGCATATACACAATGAGATAACTTGTGGATGGGACCCAAATCAAAACACAGAATTCATTTATGTTTTATATACAACCTATACACATAGCCTGATCAAATTTAATGCAATATCTGAAAAAAAATTTGTATATGAAGGAAAGTTTCATGAAAGAGAATTTTCTACTTGTGGTGTCATGTCAGTGCTAAAAAGTAAGTTTCACATTTTAGACCATTTCAGATATTTGGATTAGAAAGGCTCAACCTGTACTGTGCCTTTGAACACATGCTTAAAGCATGCATAATGGGTTTGTTTTTCAAGTCATATGCATTCTTTCTTAAGAAAAAATACTATTAAGCAAAGCTTTTTTTTTTTTTTTTTTTTTTGATACCAGGGATCAAACTCAGGACCTTGCGCTTTCAAAGCAGGCGACGGAACCACTGAGCTAAATCCCCAGCCCAAGCAAAGCTTTTAATATTAAACAGATCTAACCTGTTCAGAACTCTGTCATTAAAATTGTGACCAATTTCTCTCCACGTAAAATATTTATACTTTTTAAGTAAAATTTGGATGAGTACAAAGAGAGCAATAGTTTGGACCAGGGATTTAGCTCAGTGGTGCTGTCGCCTGTCTCACAAGCGCAGTGTCCCAAGTTCGATCCTTGGTAATAAAAAAGAAAAAAACCTATTGGTCTCTCTCTTTTTTTTTTGGTATCAGGGATCAAACTCGGGACGTTGCGCTTTCAAGGCAGGCCACAGCACCACTGAGCTAAATCCCCGGCCCCAGCAATACTTATCTTTGATTGGTTTATAAACAAAATGATCCAGTAGTTTTTATTTAATAAAAAAAGAGATTGGGCTGGAGATTTAGCTCAGTGGCACCACTCCTGCCTCTCAAGAGCAAGGTCCCAAGTTCTATCCCTGATACCAAAAAAACAAAAAAAAGAGATCAAAAGTGCTTAAGCTAAATACTTTCAGTATTCTACTAAAATAGTTTGATACTTGGATATGTTCAAGTTTATAATAAGCATTTTTAAAGTTATTATAGTATATAATGCTGAAGAATTTTTCAATGATAAATTTTATATAAAGAAATGTAAAACATACTTATCCCACTCTGCATAATCCCTGGGAATTTTCTTTTTAGCTGATTTATTTTTAGAGGAATATTTTTCCTGAAAGAATAAAATCATATTTTATGAGACATTTAACTAAGATTAGCAGGGTTTACTATACATGCATTGCAAATAAAATACTAAATTAAGATACACAAATGGGGGCTGGGGATTTAGCTCAGTGGTTCTACCGCCTGCCTCACAAGCGGAGGGACCCAAGTTCAATCCCCGGTACCAAAAAAAAAAAAGAGATACACAAATGGAATGAGTCAAAAAAACAGGTAACCTTGAGGTTATAAAAACTTCAGTATCATAATAATATATAGAACGTAAGAGAAAGTATTTTAAATTTGTAGTTAATTCTGGGAACAATCTGTAGGCTTTTATATACATACATATTTGTATATATATAAAATTTGAAAACATGTGGATACTTTTAAATTAATTTTTAATTTTTATTAGTACATGTTTGCATTATATAATGATTACATTCCACGTGCGGAGTTGGTACATGTACGTAACTCATCTTAATTCTTTTTACTTCTCCTTGTCCTCCTCCCCCAGTGTCTTGGGGCACTAAATTATGATTTATTCTTTTAAAACCTAGACATTGGAGAAACAAGAATAATTACTTTGCTCTACCTCTAATAAAGCTATTTTGTTTGTGACGACAGATACCCAGCTTGGGCTAATTCTATTAAAAAAGAATAAACCTATTTATATAACCAAAGTGATGAAAGGGCAGGGCTACTGCCGAATAAAGGGATTCCTATGCCGCTGTCCAGTGCCCCCACCACTGCTGCTGCACCCCAACCAGTCTCTGCTCCTCACTGCCTGGTGATTTCACTTTTCTCCAGGGCCACCTGCTTTCTCTTGGTAGCAGGAAGCATGTCCACAGCAGGCTGGGATTACACCCTCACAGGTCTCGTCACAGAGGAAAAAGAGACTGTCCCTTCTCTACACCTTCTGTTAGAGAAGTTCCAGGGAAGGACTGACTGGCCACCTTGGTCATGTGCCCATCCCTAACCAAGCACTAGCTAAGTCGCAGACCCATTGTTAAGGCTCGCTAGGGAGGGAGGTTCTGCACTACGTGGCAATGGGAGGAACACAGACAACAGCCATTGCATTCACAAGTAGTTAACCTTCCAAAGCCACAGTACATATGCTAGATGTGTAACTTTAAAAATACCTATCTGTAGTCTGAAGAAAGGGAAGTATAGCAGAATTTATTAAAAAAGTAGCTAGTGATTTGTTTTTAAACCATTACATATCTTTGCTATCACTAATGCAGGTGGCACAACTTAGTTTTAAAGGATACTGGTTACAAATCAAAGGTATGTTTGTATGTTGCTCTCTAATACCCGCCTGTGACAAAAAAGTATCCTCACTAAGGGATGAAAGAATGAATACGAATTGGCTTGATTGTGGTAATCATTTTACCATATGTGTATATATAAACACATCACGTTAATATATATACACATCATGTTAACTATACAATTTGAATTTGTCAATTATCCAATAAAGGAAATATTTAATAAGTAAATACAATGAATGTACATCAATAAGAATCTCAAGACATGGATTCGGTGTATGGGATAAAATATACTATACAATATTCTATTTTTATATTATAAAAAGGACAGCACTTGAGAGACTGTGGTAGGAGGATTACAAGTTCAAGGTCAGTCTGGGCTACATAGAGAGTTCAAGGCCAACCTAGACTATGTAACAAGACTGTCTAAATAAACCTGGGTGGAGGGGAGCAAGAAAGGACAAAAGGGTTGGGTCAGGGGTTTAGCTCAGTGGTTCTGCCACCTGCCTTGCAAGCACATGGTCCTGAGTTTGATCCCTGGTACCAAAAAAAAAAAGAAAAGAAGAAAGGAAGAAAGAAAGAGAGAGAGAGAGAGAAAGCAAGCAAGCAAGAAAGAAAGAAAAAGAAAGAAGGAAAGAAAGAAAGAAAGAAAGAAAGAAAGAAAGAAAGAAAGAAAGAAAGAAAGAAAGAAAGAAAGAAAGGCA